ATCCGAGGAGCTGGAGCGCGGTGCAGCGGTGCAGCGGGGAACCTGTCGGCCTTGGCAGGGACGGCCATTCCACCCACTTGCGTCCTGCTTTGGCCCAACTTGTCTGCATCGTATCGCTAGTCTTTAAAAGAAGAACAAATAGGTGGATCCAAGGAACAAATAGGCTTAAAGGTGGATTCACACGTTTCCCAAACGCCCAAAAACATACAAACTCTTTGTAAACAAACAAATAAAAATTAGTATAACCTAGCGAAAACTGTCGCATTAGATCACTGTCCCACTCCGTAATGTATTCGACGTATAAATGACATCAGGGCATATAATATAATATTATCAAGATTCAACATTTAAGGTTTGACAATATACTTAATAAGTGATTGTCTCGTCTTATTGGAAAATACGCCTCCAGTTTAATAGTTAACCAATAAAGATTTAGAAATCCCTGAGCTTATACAAATCCAATACTCGCTCAAGACCTTTTTTTTTGACACTATTTTTTTGGGAGGGTACTGCCTGCCCGCCTAACGACAGACCAACTCCCATTTTACAAATTATATAACTCTTCATTTAATTGTAATAATCGTTACTCAAATTTTACAACTTTAATTTACATGTATTGAGTAGTTCAGATTGTACTATTTTTTATCAACCTGAAATATACAGAACGAAACCACAGTTCGCACAATTTTTTAAAAATTGAATATTTAATAGTTGACAGTTGAATTATAAAGGAAGGAGATAGTCGGGGGTGGCGGTCATAAATAGGCTAAATAATGGAAGAACTATTTTATTAAAACCTAACGTTTCCATCCGACGTTTCAGGTCTTCCTCAGGGAGGTGTGTTCAGCTAGGAGTTCTAAGTGTAAGTTCTAAGTGAAACTCCTAGCTGAACAGACCTCCCTGAAGAAGACCTGCAAAGTCGGGTCGAAACGTTGGTTTTTAATAAAATAGTTTTGCCACTATTTAGCCTATTTAGGACCACCACCCTGGACCATCTCCGTCCTTTTTATTTTATTTTTTCAAATATCTATATTATATATGGTGCCTTATTGCCAATTTATATTATCATACAATTATAATTATTTTTATTTCCAATTTGTATCCATAATATAAAGTCAACTTGTCCAGCTTCATCTAAGTCCAACAATAATTTGGGCCTTTTTTTTCTAATATTTTCATTGTACGTTCTTTATATTGTGCATCCATTTCATATTTAATAGTAATTATAATTATATCACAATGTTATATAAATAATATTATATATAAAATAATAATTAATAATAGGTGAAATCAAACTACCTCCTCCAGATGAAAATAATATTTCCCGTACAAATTATTATTTTAAAATCAGTATTTTGTGTTAGGAGATTAGGAGGTAACAGGAGCGTAACGCATGTATAATTAAATAAACAGGTGTATAATTAGTTCTAATTATAGAGATAATAGCAGAGCTCCTGTAATATTCTACTCTCCTAATGCTAAAATAAAATATGACATACACTAAAAACTTTTTATATAATGGAGAGAAATGTATTAACAAGTTTCATTAAATGAAACGTACTATGTAATACCCACAACGTAAAATATACACACGACCTCAGCGAAATATAGTTATTCATATGATATGAAATATAATATGAACAAGAAGTCTATTGAACTCACACACTTTCTGAAGCTTCATAAAGTATCAATTTAGTTAATAAGTGATTAGTTTGTTCCTCGGAAAATTATCTCTTCAATTAAGCAATAAGACAGCTATCCTTGGACATAACCTAAACCATTATTTTACTCACTAAAGTCTTATTTGTTTGGTCCAGAAGAGCCTACGTTTGTAGTTTTCTTACTTACTATAACAGTATAGAAGTATATTAGTGACAGCATAGAAGTCATACCTGGATATGTTTGTAGTGAAAATTTCAAATCTCCGATGTGTAACGCTCGGATAAAGTCGGTTGGAGTCAACTGATTGAAGTGTTTTTGCATATTGATTAAAATATCTCTAAAACTAGAAATCGGACCTGCATATTGTTAGGGAGGGTAATGTTCATCATTTCATTCTCTTTATGTTGAGCTAATATTCAAAATTGTATCTTGACGCTTATCCTGACAAGATCTCTTTGATTTGTTTCCTAAAATCCACAGTGTAGCATATTTATCTCGACCAATGGAAAATATATTCTCACAATGGTTTGGACAATCTTTAAAAGTCCCGTTAAACTTGAAATGTACAAAATTCCACTTTACGAGTTATCATACTTTTCATCTTTATAGATCCTGTCTGAGATATTTCTTTCTTCCTGAATCTACCCACGTTTTCTTAAAGCCAGTCGTCCACTAGGTCAGTGCGTAGGCACGGCGCGAATAAACTCTCTTGAACATCTGTCTCATGCTCAACAATAATTGTTGTTTAGAATCATATTTCTTAACTATGTTAGAAGCTGGAACAACCTAGTGTGGTTTATTATTTAAAGCAAACTTTTGGTAATAACTAGTTAATTATATATTTAAACAGCAAAATTAGATCATTCTAACTAATTTTCATTTAATGATTTATTTTTAAATAAGTGAATTTATTTTTTTTAATTTTTAGTTTTATCATCCCTTCATAGCTTTACTGAATTCCATTTAATGAATTCCCAAATCTATTTTTCTGTTTCGAAAGTCTCTTATAATAATTTAGTCTATATTATATCATATAAATATTAAAACGAACCATTCTGAATAATTGCAAACTCAGATTATTCCCGGGTTTCAGCGTCAATGAATCATTGATAACCTTACCGTGAGGAGTAACGCATGAGTGTAAGTGAGACATATATCAATGCCATATAAAATACACCTTTTAAAATAGAATATCATTATTAATGGATCAGCGTTCTTCTACAAATGATTATTCAATCCGTCATTATTGGAAATAGATTATACTTCATGACAAAAAAAAATAATAAAATAATTTTTAATAAATATAATTTCCTATTGTAATTTTTATTCTTTGGGCGCCTGGCTCTACTAGCCTTTAATCTCCAAAGACGGAAATATAGAGAATATCAGGTACTTACCCATTATAGGTCATAATAAAAACATTAACGCTACCATGCTAGCTCAGGCGAATGGGTCAAGTTGGATTTTTTTTTTTTATAAAGCAGCAAACAAAAAGTATTTCAAGTTAAGAGATCTATTTACAGAAAGAAATAGTTACAGAATTAATATTGGGTTGGCAAATAAGTCCTTTCGGTTTTTCAGTTTATTTCTATGTCACTATGATATACTTCTTATCTGATGAATTTTTTTTTTATTTATTAAAGACATTCACAGCTGTATTAAATAAATACATCTAGTAAATCTGATGAATTAATCCCTAAGGTGGATTGTTTATCCTGTTTATAATATGTCAACAACTATACCTGTTAATTCTTGTTGAAACTAGCTTAGTATTGTGTTTGATGTTGCACTGTGAATATGAAAAAAAAAAATATAATACATTATCAGCATATTTTGTTGTATTATTTTAAAAAACGTAAGCGTGCTGCAGAAGCTCATAGACAAGTTTGCAGTGTTTATGGGGATGATGCCTTAACCGAAAGCACCTGTCAAAATCGGTTTGGCAAATTTCATTCGGGAAATTTTGGCGTAAATGATGCTCAACGGTGTGGTCACCTACATGAAATTGAAACGAGCAATGTTAAGGCCATTGTTGATCAAAATCCCACCCAATCAGTGCGAAAGATTGCTATGGCTAAAGAGAAGGGTTCTTTTTTGTTTCCTGTGCTTCCTTCATCTTGTTTACAACTTATTCAACGAAAATAGTTGTGATGGCTACTCTGAGTGAACCTTGAGTGATGTTATTCTACTGGCGTAGTAAGTTCGCTTCTTGGATTTTGGCTTGGTCATTACTACGGCGATGGGTCCAAAAAAAGAAAACTTTCAAGAATTAATTCATTGTGGTTCTGATAATGCATTATTATTAAAATATACCATTTTTTTAATTTAGAAAAAAGTTCTTTTAAAGAAACATTTAAATTTTTAAAAAAATATTCAACTAGTGAATTCTGAGATTGTCTAATCAACATTAAATGAAGATTTACTGTTCATTCGACTTTATGAAATGTAGTTTTTTCCTGAATACAAGAAATAAATTTCTGCGGTTGAGTTCGAGTGCTTACTTTGTATAAAAACAGGAAGGTAAATTTAAAGATGAAATATAAAAGGATTTTGTTAATAAAACATCTTCAACAAATCACTTACTTTTTACCTCGTTAATTACATTTTTAACTTGATTTCATTAAGCTGAATGAAAGGTATCTTTTTTAGGATGTTTGTCGATGTTTTTAAACTGAAATGCCTAGAGAGTTGACTTTTAGATTAATTATTCCTCTCTTCTTTCTATTTTTATTTATCTATTTGTTATTTTTTGTTTTTATAGCTCCTTATTTATTTTTCCAATATGTTTCAAGGTCTTGTATTTTTTTTTTTTTTTGCATTTTAAGGAGCTTTATATATTCATTATTAATTCTGGTAATATTCTTGATTTCTATATAAATATTAGGTGATAAAGATCACCATTTTTTTTATTGAACTTACTAAAAATTAATATAGTTTTTAAGTTATAATTTTAAATTAATTCTTAAGTTGATTAAATAAGGCATCTGTTATGTAATTTACTGATTCAAAAAAATGAGTATGCCTTTCAGCAATGAAATCCTTAACTTTAGGTGTTTTAAATTCCTTGTGGAGTATTGACGCATTTTCTCTTTGTTTAGTCGTGTCTTTAACTAATTTTGATTTTAACGAAAATTAAACGATTTTAGCCATTTCTCAGTCGATTTGTGAATTATTGAAAACAATGGTATAACATACAGTATTACGTATTATTGTTTTGTAGACTAAAACTTTTAAGCACATAGAAAGGTGTGTGAAAAATGATTTATTTTTTAACTCAATGTAATAGAATATTCTTATAATAACATAACAGTGGATAATTTTACTTTTATCAATTAATTATGAATGAAAAGCATATATCATTCATTGATAAATCCACTGCTTCCTGGATAATGATAGTGAAGGCAGAGGCGGTGGTTGGAGTTGAAGACAGGTTAGGGCGCTCAGCTCAGGGCAGTGCCCTCTCAACCATTCACTCAAGTTTTATTTACTCTCGTCTTGAAAGTATTTCTTTATATTGTTTTTAAAAATATTTATTCATTAATTACTACATCCTGAAATTAGTTATCTATTTATGAAAAATCTTGTTTTGTGTGTTCAATAAGTCCTTACATACAAAACCCATGATTATTAAAAAATCAGTTTCCTGGTTAAAGTTATCCAGAGGTATTATAATCGTGACTTAATTTTTTATTTATCTCTATGTATTTTTCAACTTGTTTATGTATCCATTCTTATAAAAGTTTAAAGAAAAGAGTCCATAAAGTTTTCGAAGTTTTAAATTCTCCAACGTGATTCTTACTCTTCGACTAAATTATTAAAGGGAAAAACTGTTGCTTTTCCGGCGACTTCTAGAGATATCAACCAGGAGAACTGAAAGAGGTTCTTGTTATATATTAATGTTGTCCAGAATAAATGAAATCCTCTCTTAGAACAAAGATTATAGTAAAAAAAAAAACCTTATTCTTGACAGAATTTATCTGTTTTTTGTCAGAAATAAGTTAAACAGTTATTTCGTTGTTTATCTAACTTGGATATACTTTTCTAATAATAACAAACATAATGATAATGAAATAGTTGACTGTAGATAATATGGTTTGGAGCAGAATGAATCAAAAATCGAATCAAAGAGTCGATTCCTCTGAAAGAATCGTAAGCTTATTTATCTTGCTATTTTGTTTATTTATTTATTTTCTCTAGTACTTTTATTTTTAATTAACTATTATTTTGTAGATATTTAATTTAATGTATGACCTCACTGTCATCTTTTATTTATTTTATATTTATAATTTGTTTTAAAAGAACAACTCTTTATAAAATTAGTTCTGGGTTGATAAAATTATTTTTCATTTCGTTTACAATTTACGTACACATAACAAAACCTAATATATAAAATTAAAAAAACATTTTTATAATAATTTGAGCTTTTTTTATTTATTGAGTATTACAACAATCTGTCTCTTGGACATTAGTTATAGTGAGGTAGGATAACATTCACACTATATGTACAAAAAATATAAAATAAATATAAGCAAAATAATAATCAAAAGTATATACAATAAATATATATACTATGAACATTTTTAGAATCACGTTTTATACATTTTTTTTCTTTTTTTTTAAATCTTATTTTATTGAGAAAAATACATTTTCCCTCAATCAAGGGCATTGAGTAATTGAGATGTGAGAAACTCATTCATAAAATATATACAATTTTTTTTAGTAGAGATAAATTAGAATCTGATTTCTACCTTCATTAATTAATTTTAATTGATCATCTAACTGTAATATTTTTTTATAAAGTACATATTTTATTTTATTTATCACAGTAACTGCCTATCCTGAAGCAAATTCAGTTGTATTTTTTTTCCATAATCCTCAAAGCGAAATAGAGACATGAAAATCAAAAACCGTCAAAAGAAAAAAAAAAATATATTGAAAGGGAAATAATCATGGATTGAACAATCTTGAATATTAGAAAGCATTGACCCTTTCGATTTTCCTGCACCGCCGACCCTTTTAACACTGACGTAACCAACCTCAAAGAAGAGACCATTCCCTGGGAAGCCATCGACTTCCTGAGAGACCTCGCTCTTGCCGGAGAACAAGAGGCCGAAGAAGCCAGCCAATGGACTCCAGATAAAGGAAGGACCTAATTAACTGAGGGCTGTTAACCTCGGGCCTTCTCTAATGAGGACTGAATAAGCTCCCACAATCAACTCTTTTTCGAGTCTCCCTTAGTGTGAAGATATCCTTGGGAACACCATCATTCTTATTTACTGACTATGTTAGGCGCCTTTTTTATTTAGAATATTACTAAACTTAGAAATTGGTTTACTTTTTAAATAATTAATATCCTATAAAGTGTAATATCCTATGAAAGGTTATGTATTTAAAAATATATAGATTCCATGTCACCAGGCCAGTATAATTCCGTCCGTAATACAGGCCTATTTTTATCAAATTATTAACATCCGTTTAAAACTTCGTGAAAATTTTCTAACCTCAAACGCATTAATCCTTTCAGTCTAAAGTCCTCCATACAATAGTCGATGCTCCCTTATATGTAACCAATAAAACCCTGCATAATGACCTTAATATTCCATTTATTCTTGATCTTATCCCAGCCAAATTTTGCAAATTTAACCAGAACCTTTCTCATCCCCCAAATTCCGTTGTACAACCATCCATCCCTACAATCCCCTTCGTAGGTTAAAGCGGCACTGGCTACGAGACCTTTTGTAAATATGGATATTTTGGAGTTCTAGCAATGCCCAGAAATTTTTGTTATTACTTTATTCATTTATATTTCTGTATAAACGCTTCCAACCGATGCTCCTCGGCACATAGAGTAGGCGTACTCACGATGTATAAACGGTATGAATGTAAATTTCTGAACTCTATTATAAGTGGACTGAGACAGATTGTAATATTTCTCAATAAAATGTTTAAAAAAAAAAAAAAAAAAACCTCGTGAATGGCCTCATCTTATCGTAATTTACATCTTTTCTTATCTAAGAAAATTCTTTGAAGTGGGGCGTTTCCTCATTAAATTTATTAACTTAATGAAGTACTAAAGACTCATGAATACCCATTTTCTTTCTACTTGAATGGTTAAATAATGTGATCTTGAAATAGAGAAAATAGGTGCCCTACAAAAATATTGGGGCGTTTTGCCTGTGTTAATTTCGTTATTTGCCCCGTTGGAGGTGAAGATCAGACAATCCGAAGAAATTGTATCTTAGGGATTTGATAATGGAGGAATTCATTTTAGAGCGATAATATTCATCGAGCTTTTGGATTCGCTAAACTTTTTATTTATTAATCTTAATCAAACCTTTTAATGTAATAGGCTTTATTTAAGTTGTAAGGTGAAAAAAAAAATTGAAACTTCTTTCGTATTTAAAACGAAAATCCACAAATCAGATCAGTAAGCAATAACGGATCCTTTCTCATTTAGTATTTTAAAGTTAGTGAAGTTGTCACTTGAACTACTAGAGCTGAAGAAGACAGGTCTAGCAGTCAGCAGTTGAGAGGGTCCACTTCACCTCTGGCTGCTAGTTGTTCCGAGGAAGCGAGTTGTTCCGTTGTAAGGCACGACTTCGCCCTTTGATGAAATTGAGAATGATTTTTTTTTTCCTATAGTTAAAGTTTCATTCCTTTACATTCAAATACTGCCATGGAAGTGTATATTATCCAATGTTCATTTGCTATAATAAAACATATCAACAATATATTCATTAGTAATTTTCAAAAGTAAATTCAAATATTATATAAAAAGTTACTACAAATACTCCTAATTCAATATATAAATAAATTCAGATGCATGGTTGGTATTTAAATAAATATAGTCAAAATTATAAATCGGATTATTGCAATATATAGGTTATTATATTTAAAAAAAAAAAAAAATGTATTTATTGTTATTGTTGTCAATTTTAGATTTTGTATTAATTTGATAATTAATACTAGTGATGCAGCTGGAAAAGTGGCACTGCTATCTCCTGAAGTCTTGCTTTACCTTCCACATGTGGGGGAAAAAGCCTGGCTCGGAGATTCCTGGGCGAATGTATATATTATATATAAGTATGATTGTGTTTGGAAGATTTTCTTTTATATTATTTGTTTATATTTTCTTTTATTCACTTTTTTCATCAGTATTATTTATTTACTTTTTATATTTTTATTTCCCCGTGATCTCCTAATGTAGTCATATCATTAGAGTGCTACCATTGGGTAGTTACTCAGCAAGTGTATTCATGTCATTATATCAATTATGTTCAAATTTACTTGATGTATTTATGTAATACAGTTGTAAATGTCATAAAGAAATAAAAAAAAAAAAAAAATATATTTTTATTTATTTCTCTATTATTTGTATACATTGTATGAATGAGAACTTTTAGGCCTAATACTTATAGCCTTCCAACAGTTGCTGATTGTATTATTATTCAATAAACATATAACAAAGAAATTTGATAATTGGAAATATTTTAACTGTCTGATTTTTAGCGAATATGATTTTTTATCCTTAACAGTGTTGTAATATCTGTGATGTAGTATATAAAAAGGAATGAATTTGCATTTCCATAAGGACAATAATGTTCATTATTTTGTGATAAACTCCATTTTATTGGGTTCTTCCCTTAAATCAAATAAAGATTAATAATAATTAATAATGAAAATTAAATAATGAGTCATTTTTAAATTTTATTCGTATGGATATCAATTTTTTCGAGATAAAAATAGAGATATCGACTTCCTTGCAATCTTTATTTTAGGAAGTTACTAATGTGAGCATAGATAACCATCAATATAACTACGGATAGATCATTTTGAAAAATATAATAAAATTATTTTTGCCTCAGAGTATGCTAGATTATAATTGATTTTATAGATTTTGAAGAAATAATTTTATTGTTACAGTTAACTTACTTTGTTCAATTTTTCTAGGAACGTTTATTTATTTATAGAGGAACTTTAGTTTTTATTTAATTATAAAATATTAGCTGTTTACAACTTATTGATGTTACAATTGGCTATTTTGGAGCAAATGAATAATGAATCGACCATCGTTACCAAGTTACAAAACGTTTACATGACGTTGCTTGGCAACAGACCGGCGATTGTTAGTAACCTTACTATCTTGATTAAGGAATTTTCCTGCAAGTGTGAAACTATGTTGTGAAGATTTATCCTTTAATGGTTAGAAAAGCTTACTTGGCTATTGAATCAAAGTTAATTCAAATTATTTTCAAACAAATTACTATCAAACTTCTATGAATATAAAGAGTTTGATTGAAATTGATTTACCTTTGTTCGAAAAATAATGGACTAGGATGTAAGGTAAAAAAACTACTACTTCAAGTCATTTGATAAAATGATTATTTTTATTCTAAAGTGGAGGAGAGAGGATCTTGAAGTGTTATTGTTGCTGGACTCAAAGCAGAACAAAATATATCCTTTTCTTTTATTTAATTTATTGTAGGACAAAGGTTATAATAAAATACTTTTTTAATATATTTCTTTTATTGTTGACGTTTCGGTTTTTTTTTAGCCATTTACAAGTATCTGTGCAAATATAATTAGTCACCTATCCTTAAAATATTTCAATTTCAAGGGCAGAAAATAATACTAGAAAATTGTATCCTTTTCGTTCTTTTTCGCGTAACCTATCAACAGACTCTTCTTTACTATAACAACAATGACATGAAGTTTGGATGCTCTGAATGTATGCTTAGATTTTTCCCAAAATTGAAATAAATGGGGTTTTTACAGCAATATCGAAATATTAATTCTGAGTTAAATTAATCTAGTATAATTTTTGTTTTAATTTCGAATTGTTGTACAAACATAGTTCTTAACATAATATCTAGAAGCACTAAGTGATTTTAACGAGAGATTAAATATCTAATTTCGTCAGTAACAGTTATCAATTCACAATGATTAAGTAAAATAATAACAAAGGATTAATGTAATAATTAATAATTAGTCATTAAAACCAATCAAGCATTAAAAACTTTTTTTATATCTAATTAGTTGTACATAGTTAACCCGAAACCATTAATATTTTAATTCTTATTGTTATTCAGTTATTTGAAGTATTTCTAGATATTATTATGTTAAGAACTATGTTTAAAAAATAATTCAAAAAGGGGGAAAAAATATAATCGATTTTTCCATCTCAGAATTAATATTTCGATATTTATGTAAAAATCCGATTTGTTTCAAATCTGTTTAAAAATTGAAGCATAAATTTAAAGCATCCAAACTTCATATCATAATTTTTATATTAAAAAAGGGTCTGTTGATAGTTATCAATAACAATATTTGGCCAAAAAATGTAAAATTAAAGCAGATCAAAATTTCAATTTTTCGAACATAAATATTATTTTCAAGCTTCTTTCGGAACCTTAAGATATAAAGATAAAACAACGAAATTCTATAGTCTTTTTATAGACATAAAAAGGTAAATTTGGAATGCTATTAGAATGTTGTCCGTTGAAAAAAGTGTGTTTTTCGTTACACACTAATGTACATGACGTGAATGTTATAGAAATTTGGAAATGACCCATATTCTGTATTTTTAACCAAGTAATATTATGCTATTCTGTACTTATACATTTTTTTTTTCAGTTAATACAATATTTATTACCAATTTAACAGAGTTACGATAACCGTCCCAGGTGTAACCTTTGAATAAAGGAGACAAAATAAAAAGGCATGAAACAGCAGTAAAATAAAATATTCGTGATCCTTCTTAGGTCCCCCGAGAAGTCATCTTTCTTGGATACGGTTCCCTGCGCTCCGCTGGGCTGACATCTTGGGGTCTGGGGTAGCTTCAAATCCCAATACACTGGAATAATATATTTCGCTGACATTGAAATAAGATTTGAAAAGTATTACAAGTCAGTGATAAAATTACTATAATTTCATATTACTTTGCCATCTTATTATAAATATTCAATTTTTTTTTGTATTGCTTTACATATAGTCCGTGGTATAAACCCCTTATTATCAAATTAATAACATCAGCCTAAATCTTTGTGGGCAGCTTCATCTCATCGTAACATGCAACGGTTTTATTTATGAAAATTATTGGAATTGGGACGATTTCATTTAGGAGTTTGGCAAACTTTGTCTATTTATTTATTAGTTTTTATTTTTTATTTTTTTTATTTTTTTTTTTATTAGATATATAATATTCTGCCATGGGGACAATAATTATATTGATAAATGAACACATTCACACCGTATACACATAAAAAAAATAAATTAACAAGAGTAAAATAATAACTAAATAAAAACTATATACAATAGAAAAATAAAATAACCTAAATATAAGCAAATTAAAAACATAAAAATACAGTCATACCTATATACAATATATACAATCACCCACAGAACCCAAATCCCTGCGCTACTCTCTCAACCGCCTCACTGGTGCTAAAGCCGGTGGAGTGACTGTCTATTTAATTAGCTACTAAAAACTCATGAACATCAATTTATTTTATTTTCAATTGAATCGTAAGAAATTAGAGGGCATTCCTGGAAAAAGTGCTAAGTATTTTAAAGCTCTTTAAAGTCGAGAAACCTATTTACGAAATGTTTATGTTTATTGATTCTTAGTTTATCCTCTTGCATGTTTTCTATTAAAGCCTTTTTAACCAAATAAGCCATCAAATCTGTCTTTTTATTTCAATTTGACATTTTAAAAATAAATCAAAACGTTATTAGATCAATCAAGAACTCATAAACTTTGTTTATAGTACACGTATAACCGTACTTAAGCAAAGACAGATTATTTACCATTCATTTAAAATTTGTAATGACTGCTTAGCATAATAACACATTTGTTTATAATAATTTACCACAAGCTGCATGAATACCCCTAATTTGATCGCTAATTCGAGAAACGATGTAGCCTACAAACATATTGAGCCGTTTGGCTTGATTTCCACATCCTACTTATCAAAATAACAAGGTTATGCAGGCTAAGCCCACTATATTTATAGACCAATTTTTTTTTCTATATTTTGAAGAAATTATCTTACGATTTAAGAGGAAAACGAATGGTTATGCACGAGTTTTATTAAATCGATTTATTTAATAAGAAAACGCCCAATTTCTGAAATTATCGTAAATAAATTTAGATTATCACTCCTAACCACTCAATAACTTCACATGTCATCTATAGTTTACAATTAAAAAATAAAATTATAGCTCATAACGACGTAACGTAATGTATTGAGAATCTTTATTATTTGACTATTTATTGGGTCTATGGATATTTATTTTTAGCAAATTACCCGTAATGAACGAAAGGGAAGCTAGAAGACATGAATGGCGGAGAATGGACAAAGGAATTGCCTCTATAAGAGGGGATGTGGGTTAGTGCCATCTTCTAATTTATGAAGAACCTCAACTGCCTACTCGGCCAGCTCTTATAGCCAGTGCCTCGTTTATCTTATAGTCGAGAGAGGAGTTTGTTTCTGAGGTATCTTCCATGAAGGAGGTTTGGATGATACATTAAAATAAATTGTCACCGATTTTAAACATCTGCAGCAAAGAGGCAAATATTAATCACAGAATATCACTAGTAATTGCCTTTTA